TGACTTCGCTATATTGATGAGAATAATAGATTCTATTGGGCAATGTTTAGCTGGGACTTAGGAAGTTAACTATCATCTGGCCATTGGGGAGGGATAAAAGTAAAATGGGATTTTTTTTTTTGTGTCTAGTCAAATAAAGAGCATGATGTTGATTTGATTACCCGTGGAGTTGCAGAAGAAAGCCTTATGAAATTCATCTTCCCTCCTTCCAGAGTGTGGACAAGGTACCCATTTCTACATGTTGGTCTGGCAAGTTCCCTGCTCTGTAAAATGGGCGGATTCTGATCTTTGTCTGGCTGATACTAGCTGGATGTAACAAGGGGTTCTGCTATATAACCACGCTTAAAAATTGAATTATGGGCCCTTTCAGTATGCTTTGGCAACTTTGGAGCTACATATAATTTGGCTTTAAATTAATTTGCCAGTTAGGTACTAGAGAAGGGAACTATCTGCTGTGCTGTGTAGTGGGAGTAGTTAAAGCAACAGTTTCTGGTCTCTGCCTGCACTCATATTTTTCGGTATAGTAAACCCAGCCCAAACCAGACACTCAGTTGCTTCAGTGCTTCTCTCGTGCAATTTTCTTTTCAGGCTAATGCAGAAACTGTATTACCAGTGCTGTGGGATCTGTTTACTTCAGCAGCATTTGCTGTTAACTGGAGCAAAGGCAGGGTGTCACCATGTCACTGTCAGTGCTGTAAGGGAATATACTTGGCGATGACCTAAGGTCCTTCTAGAGGACCTGACTTCACGTTTCCAGCTTCCCTGTGGCTCGTGCACTGCTTTTGCAAACGCACTGGAAGCACCTCATGTTCCTGTCCGGGTTCTGTGCATCAGCAGTGAAAAGGCAACGAGTAAATACCAGGCGTCGCAGAACGACAACGTGCTTTGCTTTGGTGCGGGTGGCAGAATGTTAACCCCGCCGGGGTGACCCTTCGCTTAGTTCGGAGTGTAGATTGTGGCCCTGGACTGCTTGTGCATTGGTCTCCCTGGCTTGTTGGTGGCTGGGGGGTTTCTTCTTTTAAGAGGCCTTTGCTTGAACAGCAGATGCACGGCTCACTGCAGGGTAGGCAGTGGCATCTATTGGTTTTTGTTTGGTTTTTTTTTTTTTTTTTTAAGGGACATGCTGGTTGTGTTACCTATTTACCTGTAATGTAGCACAATGCTGCAACAAACGTGATTTCATGTGGACTGACGCAACTTTTCTTAGTCTGCTAACACAGCTGTCGTGTCATAGCATTAAAAGAAAATCCTAATAGAAATCAAGATGCGTGCTACGTACCCTGACAAGGTAAAGGGAAATTGGTTTGAGATACCACTTTCTAGCAAAATCTGTGACTATCTGAGGCTTTTAATTAATTTGTTCTGGTCTCTTCCTAGATATTAAACTGCCTGGCCTCTAACTCCCCAGGTCTCTTGTCCTCTGGCCTTAAGGACAGAGTGCTGCCCAGCCCTGTGGGGTCTCCTTCATGAATTTATAGGGCAGTGTACAAGCATTATACAAGGAAGGTAAAAAATCCTCCAGTCTGTTCCTTAAGTAGTGTAGGCGGGACTTCAGCAGACTTAGCTGATTTGAATATATTTGGTTTACCTGATTATAACTTTAGTATTTCTCCACTTTTTGACTAAAACAACACTACAGGTTTTCCTGAAGTGTCAATGACTTGCAAAGAAAAAAAAATAACCAGAAAAAAAGTGTCAATGATTAGCAAAGAGGATGCTATTTCACCCCTTAACCATCCACAATTTTTATATTAGTGACCTACACCAACCAGTTATTAGGCTAGCTTTTATAGAGAAAAGACTACTAAAGCACCATACTTTCTACTTCTCACGGTTCTTACAGGCGTATGGCACAAAGCGGTGCCTCAGTGATGTCCCAGATCCCACACTGGGTCACTCAGCGAACGGAAAGGACAAAGCAATGCAGACAACCTTCGATTGTATATCGTGGTATTTGGTTATAGGGCTGTAAGAATTGATGCGTGCGGTGGGTTTAAGCTGATGTCTTAGCACTGGGAGGGCAGGTTTACCTCAGAAGAACAGTACTGACTAAATTAGGCCTTGTCCAAATCAAAAGCATTCCTAGCACTGACAGTGTTTATACTGAGAACAGTTATCTGGTGGAGTTTTCACAGCAGTCCCTGGTCCTAACCTTCCTCTAGACAAAGTTAACTTTTTACGCTACATACTTGTGTATTTATTTAGAGGTGGTGGTGGTTTTGCATTTTCCAGCCCAGCTATAGCAAAGACCAAAGTGAGCATGACTCAGACTTGAAGAAATAGGTTATTCCTGTCCAAAGGCAGGTTGCTGTAGCACTGCATCCCTCAGCAGTAGGAGTACAGCACATGCAGCCTTTGGCAGGAGGCAGCCTGGCAACTGTGGGGCTTGGAGAAGAAGGACCGAAGAGCCACGCAGAGGCACTAGCAGTAACTGTGTTAGCAGCTAGTGGGGAAGGAAGGGGCAGGGGAAGGCTGCTGCTTGCTTGCTTTGCTTCTTGTTGCAGGTGTTGGTTTTATTTGAACAGTTGTTCCTTGCCAGACTGAGACATTAGTATGGAATGATTCAGTTTTGCAGGCAGAATCCCAAGATGCTCCCCGAATATCTGTATTCTCCTTAAATCTTGCTTCTATGCTGTCGCTTTAGAGAGGAGCTCTTCTTGTGCTTTTGTTCAAGGATTAGGGCATGGGAGCTTTTGCCAGCTACAAAGGGCTTACGATCGTGTATTTTACCCTTGTGCTTCTGGAGTGAAGGGTGGCTCTGGTGACAGCCAAATCATCTCAAATTAGCACAGTCCATGCAGAAAGTCCGTAACCTTGCTTTTGCAGTCAGGTGTTTTAAGGATGGATGACAGTGCAGGGGACTACCTGAGAGCTGTGTGGGCAATGCTTGTAGCCCACACATGTAACTGGTGTATGCTTGGTGGTGGAAAAAACCCCTCTATACAAGGCAAAACTTATTTGCATATAAGCTCGAAGTGTTAAGCGCGTTGCAACACTTAAGTAGAATGTTATTTGTATTCTGAGAAATGATGGGGGAAACAGTTGTGTACTCCAAGCAAAATTTATTAGAAGTCTATTCAAGAAAAAAAACCACAGAGACCTTTTGCTTGTAGGAATTCAAAGTCAGGTACCTGAAAGCCAGGTATGAAAAACCTGTATTTTTCTAAAATCAGATACAGAGTAGAAACAGTACTTTTTAAATATCACAGGCAACAGATATTTAAGTCTTCAATCATAAATGGCATCAAAGATAGGTATTAATCTCACAGCAAAGCTGCATGCAGATCTAGTTTAAAATCGAAAGCCTTTGAATATAAAGCTTTTGCCATGAAATCTGCAATAATAAAGGTATGCTGCACAAAGATGTTTCTTTACCTTTGTCTTAATGACATTTCTCAGTAATAAAGACATATGTACATTTAGATTTGGCTGGTAAACCATATTTTAATTAATAAAATTTTGCATAAAATGCTATCTTACAGAATTGCACTATCCAGAGGTGCTTATGGTAAATAGAGCAAGAAAAGAAAAATGCATTGAAATGTTCTCTATGTAATAGGGTAAAGATCAAATAAGGAACTTAATTTTTTTTAAAATCAACAACCAAATGGCTCTGTACAAAAAAGCAAACATATGTACAAAATGCTACAGAGACTACATACATTTTGATAATTTCAATCCTTTACCCATGAGAAATGCAGTAGAAGCTTTTGCCATCTATAAGGTGCTGAAGAAACCAAATCTAAATTTTTATTTTTATAAAGCCATAGTCATTATCATCCTGTGCCTTAATTTCATTTGCTATTTACGCTTACCTTTACTTATGGAAAAGGTATGTTTTCAAATACTTGTTTCATTCTGGAAAAAAACCCAAACCACCTCTAAAATGTATCAGTTTTAATACTTGTGACATTTTTTCTGTACTAAATTCCTAAAAAGAATGTGTAACTCGGGTTTTGTTAACACACACATATATATTTATATAGTGAAATAAATCAGTACATGATACTTGTGAATATTTTTCAGGTGGCTATGTTAGAACAAAACCCCAACCCAACAACCCTTTGCACTAACACTGTTTACTTCCTGCTTCTTAATTCCTGTGATACGTAAAACACTAACCTCTCAAATTTCATGTTGCTTGCTATTACGACATTTTGATTACAACCAGTTAATGCCAGACATCAGTAGCAAGTTATTATTGTCTATGCTTGTATCATCGTCTGTCTCTTCATTAAATCCTTTTTCCTGAGGTTTTATGCCTCTTGCACTTCTTACCTTTTAACAGAAAACCCTACGGCTTTATTAGGGGGCAAAAACGGAAAAAAAGGTTTAGCCAATACCATTGCACCTGTTCAGAACACTTGGAGTTCTTCCATTTTTCACTACGCTTGCTTGAGATTTTACAATCACTGTGCATATGTTACAACATACAAGTGCAGGCAAAAGAATCTATATTATAATTTGTCATACATTGTAAACCAGTACAGTAGGCAAACCTGTGATACCGCAAAGTGAAAGCAACAAATGCTGCCGAGCTAATAAGAATGTGGAAACTCCAAGAATTTTTTTAAAAATAGTAAACAGCAACTTCCCCCTGCATTACACGCATGCTGAAAAAATCCCATCAGCCTTGGTGATGGCGCCACCAATGTCCAAACCAAGAAGAGTTTCTCCCCCTCCCCACCCCCCATGGCCATTCAGCTCTGTACCTGTCATCGGGCTCTTCCTATCAGGTTTCAAATGAAAAGACTTTAAAGCAGGGAGTATTTAAATGTTGAAACGCTTCCTCTTGTTTCAGAAAAGCTTAGTTATTCACACTGTGGTCGTTGCTGTAATACTGCTGGAACGGTTTGGCGAGTGGAATGGGATGAGGATGAACTAGATGGCCTCTACTTGAGGCTGCAAGCAAGAAAACAGAAGGCCAGCGTAGCATGTTTTCTAGCAGCTTTATGCAGATGTGTTGCAGAGATGCAGCATAAATAAGTAGGAAAAAAATTTCACAGCCTCTTGACATAGTTTCCAGGGAAAGTACCAAAGAATTTGGTTCTTCTCGAGGTTCCTGAAATTAGAAGCAATAGATGAAAGATGGGAATAACAACAGGAAGTCACTATGTAAGCATGGCCTTCAATTTTTATGTTTAATATTGCACAAACAGAAATATTTACAGTTGTTTGTAACATAACATCAAAAAGTTATTTTGAATTTCATTTGTGAGTTTTAACAAATTATAACTGCAGGAAGGAGAAAGCAAAGAGAGGCACATATTTAATTAGATTGCTAGGCCTGATTAAAATCTGTGCTAAAATTTTGACTTGGTACACAGAAATAATTTCATTTCAACAACATCAAGTCTATTTAAATAATTAGAATTTTTGAAATGCTGAGTTAGATGATTAAATTAGCCACTGTGTACATAAGGGTTTATGGAATGATTAAGCCACCTTACCTAGGCCTAGTTATGAAATCTCTGTTTGGTAATACTCGGTTCTCACGAGCAGTCAATGCTGTAGCTGTATTCATGCGAGTAAGCTTTACGTTACCTGGTCTTTATAAAGAGAGCAGTAATACATAGTCCGTTTTGTGTCACGTGAGAATGACAACAGTGCTGTACCACAGACTGGAGTCAATTTGTGTCCATCAACTCCAAACGACACGAGTGAAAAATTGCTCACTAATTTCAGCGGATTTTGTTTGGGATTTCTCCTGATAAAGCCAGGTTCAGGTTTATTACACTGAATACCAAAAATTAGTTTGTTTAAAACACACCAAGCAAAGAGGGCAGCAGAAGTCAGAGGAAGAGAGAAAAAAAGATAAAATAAAAGCAACCAAACTAAGACATACCCACAAACCATCCATCATCACATTTTTCCATCACATCAATGACATCTCCCTCTCTGAGCTCCAATTCATCTTCGTTCCTAGGAGTATAGTTATATAGAGCCTGAAACCTTAAATAGGACAAATGATGCATTTTAAAAAGAAGTAAGAATTCTTTGCACCTTTGCTGAAGTAAAGGACCTGGCTTAAACATTAACTAATGAGTAACACCTCTTGCAAATACAGGGGAAAAAGGTTTATTTTGCCTGGTGGACTTCGGGGCTGGGTATGTATTATAGTAAATAAATAAAGCTTTATCAGAAAAATAACTCATCAGACACTAAAGACTCAAGGGACTCAAGGCAAGCCTGATGGCTCCTCAACCAGTTAATTTAATCAGCAGAGCAGGGTGCCACATGGCATCATCACAGTACTTGGCCTCCTCCTGTAGTGGGTGGAGGAGGGTGCCCGGAGAGTGGCTCGCACCCACTGCTGCTGTGAGCAGGGACATCCCCGGGCTCCTCAGCAGCGACTGCTGAGGTGAGACTTGGCACTATCCGAGCTCTGCACGTAAAAATGGTGCCCATGTCTGTGGGGAAGGTGGAGAATAATTGCTATTTGGGAACATACAGCCATAACCCCTTCTCTGGTTAAAACTGCCCCTGCTATACATATTAAAAAATGCCTCTGACAGTGAGGAAGAGGCTTGAATCGGATCAGGGGTACACAAGGATGGAAACTCAAACAGTATTCAGCCACTGACTTGTACCTCCACCCCAGCCAGGGGCTGCAGGTTGAAGGATATGAGGTGGATAAATGGAAAGAGGTATGAGATTGCTAAATTTATCATCTTTCATTCCTTGTCAGCTTTTAATTGAGTTTCACGGAATTGAAAGAATGGCACTAAACTCCTAATAGGGGCAACTGAAGGTGTTTGGGTTGACAGCCCCTGGGAAGATTGCTGCAAAAGCCCCTGAGTCCTGCAGCCAGAACCTGCCTTTTTTTCTAACCATCTGTGCCTCTAACAATTGCATCTGACAATCATGTCTATTTTTCCCTCTTAACAACAGTTCTCTGACTTTAGAACCTTAATGCCATTACGCTTCCCCACAAAACCCCCAAATAACTCCCCCTTTGATGTGTGGGTACTGAATTAGCTCTGTATCATTCAGGCAAAGTTTCCATGGCTTAAATGAGATGTTTATTTCATAAAAAATTCCTGCTCCTGAAAGTCTCATTTGAAAACCCTATATACAGACTGGTGTCGGGCTGAGTGTAATGATGGTCTTTTTGAATAAACCACATTTATTTTTCAGATCGCTGGCTTGGAGGAAAAAAGACAAGTCTTCCAATAAAAAAATTATCTTAATTTCTCGTGACGGGTGGTTATCTCCCCGAATCTGAAAAGTTTAATTTTATATTTTAATTGTACTAAAAAAATGGAATGGGACTGGTTATCTAAGCAATTACCTCTGGTAATTCGTGTAGCAGGAGTCAGAACAATCTGTACAAAAAATTAAATGGCAATAACATTTTCTGTCATGCTTATCGTTATTCCAGGAAAGCAGAGCTATGATGATATTCCAAAACTGATTAAATGCAGGTTCCAAAGGTACAGGAGTTGCAGATGTAATGTGTCACGAATAGGACACAAGCCAATTACTTACTCAAACACACTAACAAGAACTTCCCAGTTAGTTAGCACTCTTTGTACTTTAGAAATCTAATCTTAGTCATTTCTAGATAATCCATTTTAATAAATCCTTTGTAGTCATTTCATTCTCTCATTGCTAATCTAGGAATTTCTTAAAGATGAAAACTACTCCCATTTACAACACTAACAGAATGCACATTCAAGACAAAGAATGGTTGGTTGGCAATTTAAATGTATTTCTTAATTTTAGGAATAAGTAACTTTAGTCATGAACTACTTAACCTATATTGAACAAAATTAATTAGATCATTATTGTTTACAAAACAGAGTTAGGTGCTTCAAGTATGCTCAACAAAACCAACAGGAGCTTGAGAAAAATGGTTGTAGTGAGATTAAACCCAGAATGTCCAATTTTCACTATAGTGGTGCAGTTATTTGGTAACTTTTTTGCCCCTCTTCTCTCTTACCACTTCTTCCAGTGACTAACAGGTAAGCTTTAAATTATTTTTAGATGCTAAGCCTTAGTTACATTTAGGAGAATTCATCTGATTGGGCATACTCCAATGCGCTCTGCTGCTAGAGGAAGAATGGCTACTGGTTTCAGTGGTCACTGAAGCAGGACCTGAGTGCAAGACTGGGGAAAACAAACAAACAAATCGAAACACTCTTGCACTGAGCTTCCATTCTACTGTCAGCACTGAAATAGCCTGATGTGTCTTATCCCAAGTGCTTACATTGTTTGTGAAAATAAGACTTGAGATCTAGGTGGTTCGTCAGTTTTCAGAAAGGCTTTCTTGTATAGATTTTTTAAATTGCACATGTAAATTACACCAAAAAGTGTGAGCCTGGGTTCCTGTGATGAACTTTATCGAGTTATTTTTTTTTTCTCTCTTTTCACATCCAGAACTGTTTCTGAATAATTTGTGTCAAGTCAGTAAAAGCAGATGAGTTGAATCAAAGTTAAACTGCTAACTGGCATTCTGCCGAGATGTAAAAGAGAAGAGAATAAAAAAAGTCAAACTTCACTTTTACAAAATTATTATCCCTTTTAAGTATAAATGATGGAGAACTGTAAGTTGGCATGTCTGTCTGAGTCTGATGTAAATGAAACAACTAAGGCTTTTCCCTCTGGGACCTTGGATATTTTCCTACATCATACAGTTATCTGTAAACTTCTGAAGCCTCTTCATAATTGTACTTGGCAACTTAACAAAGTACTTGACGATGTGCTGGCTATTGCTTAAATGTTAGGTTTTTGGTTTAGTAGACAAGAAGTATACTTACGGTTCCCCCCCACTGTGTATGTTTTCATGAGCAAGCACAGGGCGCTGTGGCTGAAATGAAATGATTTGAAATGTAATAAAGATTTATAGTCTAAGGTCCAAATAGTTGGATAGGGGCACGATATGTAGTTGCTTGAGAGTTCATATTCTACCTTGTGTAAAACACACTCCCCCCCCAGCTCACGACAACTTTTTAAGAGACAGGGCAAGCGACAGAATCTTGACAGGTTTAAAGATCTGATTTTTGGAGGACAGAATGAAAACTAAAACAAAACTGTAAACTTTATCAACAGTCCATTCTATTTATAGTAGAAACTGGAATAGAACCCTGCTGCCTCTTCACTGTGAAACAGAAATAGCATTAGAAAAATCAGATGCAACTGATGAACATTGTACATTCCTTGGGTGAAGTATATTTTTAGATAAGCAGAAATAAAATCTCCTATACGTAATGTCAGAACTTAGAATATTCTCTGACAAACAACATACCAATTTACATTACACACACACACAGATACCAACTTGGCAGGCATAACATGCTATGCTTTAAATAATTCTGTTTCATCTCACGGGGGACACAAAGCCATGCAGGCTGTTGGGAAGCAAAGAGCAGAAAGAATTTTTGAAAGAATGCATGTAATTGTGTGAAAATAACAATTAACACTTTTACTTCAGAGGAAAAAGTAGTTTGTATTTCCAGTGCAAAGCTTTATGAAAGGAACTACTTTCCTTCTTAACAGAGGACTACCTGCCAGTAATATCCAATAAATCTGGAGGCAATGGTAAGGAAAAACACTAACCTCCTGCAGAAACTGTATCCTGCTTAGAAAGGCACTGACTTATACCGATTAGAATCTGGCTGGGGCCAGAAAGAGTGCAGGAGCAGCTGCTTGGGAGAGCTCTTGGGTGTGAGCAGTGATCGTGTTCTCTGCTGACTGAGGATGCCCTGTGGTCGTGCAGTGGAGACTGGCAGTCTGATGCAAGTTTGGGAACCGTGTCTGCCTTGGGAGCATGGATATTGAACACAGCTCATAGCATTTTCTTTCACGAATTGACTAAACTGCAATCTGACCTTGAAGCCATGGGATTTGTCTTATTGCTCCATGGTTCTCTCTTTCCCAGGTTTGACTATTTCGGTTCATCTTGCTTCAGTTTACTCCTGAAGATGATGCAGTCTTCCATGAGAGAAGGCCGTGGTAAACAACCCACAGCCTGATGATATCAACTGAATGTTAAAACGCACTATGGTTCCCCCCTCTGCCCCCCTCCCCAACATCTCCAGGTAACACTGAGGTAATTAAATTTCATTTCTTTTCATGATGTTTGTATGCGTACATGCAGAAAATATTTGTGAACATTCTCCACTTCATCTTTACAGTCTGTAGAGCATAATTTTAAAAAGGTGAATAAAGATGCAGGCAGGTAGATTACAGAACCTTTATCCATATTACTGACAGCTAGGTGGAAAAGAGGTTTTCAAAAAATGTCCAAAAAATTGGTTTATACTCTTTCACGGTCTTCTCTCCCTCATTTAACTCTCCTCTGCCACTGTACAAGAAAGATGGATAATTTTTACCGAAGAATCTGACAATGAAGATTACATATTAGACATTTCAGTTCTCAGTAAATCCCCTTCAACTGTGGCTTGTCAAGCAAGAAAAGAATATTCCATTGGGCAGATTGCTTGGTATTTGGATTGGAACCTGACCTTATTCTCTGTTCATCTTTCATCAGGTCTGTAACTGAGCTGAATGCCAAAGACAGTCAGAGATGCAAGAGAACTCAGCTGAGGTTAAAGAATTTTCTTGCGAACAATAAAAGTCAGTGTCCTAAACAATACTACAAATGATTTAATGCTTTGAACATATACCAAGCTAGGAAGAAATTAGGTAGGTTGAAATTATCTTTTTTTTCTGTATACGCTTCGACGCTTTAAAATGTTTTATTGCTAGCTAACTACTATAGAAATAGATGATAGAAAATCAAGGTGAGTGAAGATTTTCAACTCTATGTTACTGCTACAGAGAAAACTGACAGAATTAGAATCTGGGAAAACTAGGTTGAAGTAATCTGTGCTATGTCTGAACAGGGGGACCTTGGAACGCTCGCTCTCTCCAAATGCATTCCTCAGTAGTACCCCAGCTGAACACTGGCTAGAACGGGGACTGTTGCAAGGTCTGGCTAACTGCGCCCGAGAGAGATCATGAAATGCATCACCCTGTGGGTAGCTCTGGGTGCTGAGGATTTATAGTTTCAAGCTACAACTCAGTTCGCTACGCTATCCTGTTTCCTGGGAAAAACTGTAGGACCTCATCTCCAAAACATTGAAAACCATGGCGTCAAGTCAATGGTCCCTGTTGTACACCTGATTTTCACACGATTGATGTGCGCTTGCATATAATAGTTCTGTTAGTCCTGGACATGCAAATCAGGTGTACAATTTGTACTCCTGTAGTTTTGAAATTGAAGTTATAAATGCACTAAACATTGACTGATGCAGACCTCTTAATATATTGATTACATCCCATTCATTTGGAGTAACACGCAAAATTAAAATAGGGCTTAATCCCTTTTTTATGGATCTTATTCCCAGTGGGACTTCCTTTGGGATGGTGTTGGTCTGCTACTACAAGAATCCTGGCCTTCCTATGACTGAACTGTCTCTCTTCAATGATGAAGAAAGCAACTGTCCCCTCATTCCTGGTAGTAAACAGAGGCCTGCCAAAAAGCCAAGACTTCGAAAGTTACACAAACCTGCATATCTTAACTTAAAATTCGAAGTTTTAAAAGGGAACCACCAGACAGACAATAACCTAAAATCAGCAGCAACAGCATGGAAAACAGTTCATCTTGTTATCAGTTTTAAGAGCTAAATGTTAAGAAACCGATGCAGAGAATAATTTAGTCCTAAACTGAAAGTAAAACATAACCCAGAGATTCTTACTCTCATATGGTTTGGGTTTTTTTTTCCCCCCATAATTTAGAACACCTTTCTGAGCCAGACACATGCAAACTCTAAAAAATCTGACTTTCTGGCTAGGTAAAATTGTTACAGTTATGGTACTGTTATATTACAGCTACGAGGGGGAAGGCTAAAGAGTGCGACACTGTGGAATAACAGTGTTGGGTAAAGAGCAGAGTATTAAGTGAACATAACATAGTAGCAACAAAACACTTTGAAAAGAAGGACATGGATTCAAACCCAAGAATTCAGCCTGTGTACAAAAACCTGTATATGTGCTTGCGAACAATAAAAGTCAGTGTCCTAAACAATACTACAAATGATTTAATGCTTTGAACATATACCAAGCTAGGAAGAAATTAGGTAGGTTGAAATTATCTTTTTTTTCTGTATACGCTTCGACGCTTTAAAATGTTTTATTGCTAGCTAACTACTATAGAAATAGATGATAGAAAATCAAGGTGAGTGAAGATTTTCAACTCTATGTTACTGCTACAGAGAAAACTGACAGAATTAGAATCTGGGAAAACTAGGTTGAAGTAATCTGTGCTATGTCTGAACAGGGGGACCTTGGAACGCTCGCTCTCTCCAAATGCATTCCTCAGTAGTACCCCAGCTGACATCAAGAAGCTTTCTCCCTGTTTTCTTT